ATCTTGATACCTTCTCTTCTAGCTCTATTCTGATTGATTGATTGATTGATTGATACTATCTCTCTGTTAATGCAGCCTAGGACTGCATTGGCTTTTTTTTGGCAGCTGCACCACATTGCTGGCTCATATTTAAGTGACTGTCCATTAGGGCAGTCCTAGATTCCTCTCACTATTACTGCTTTTGAGCCAGGTACCACTTATTCTATACCTGTGCATCTGGGTTTTCTTGCCTGTGTAAAAACCTTACTTTTCTTACTACTAAATTGCATTTTGTTGGATAAAGCCCAGTGTTTAAAACTGTCAAGATCCTTGTGAATCTTGAGCCTTTCTTCTAAAGTGTTGGCTATTCACCTAGCTTTGTGTTGTCTGAGATTTGATGAGTTCCCATTCACATTCTACCTGCTTTCTACGTTCTACACGATGTCCCATTTTTCTATAGGATTTTAAAAATATATTTGCGCACAAACACCCCTCTTCTGGTATTCAGATACTGGATCAATGGAAGGAACAGCAATGGTCAGATCCGGAATAGCACTTTCACTGTGCCACATATCCTTTAAAATGCCACTGCAAAAATCACCTTGGGGTCCTCTCCACATGGCCTAAGCCAATGCAACAGGGGAATGATTGATCCAACTGTGTTAGGACTGAAAGGAAAACTCCAAAGATAACTTTATGGTGCAAATATTTCTAAACCAACATGGAACACTTGAAACAGAACATTTTCTTTCACCATCCAAGCAAAAATAATAAAAGTGTGCTTTGTTTGGGACATGAACAACTCAAAATAGTTGCTTAAAGCTCAGAACATTTTTTACTTAGAATGGTATGGTAACAGGCTTCTATTTACTTTTTTATCTGATCAATTTCTAAGATGTCTCACTTCAATAAAAACAGAGGGGAAAAATTCAAAGACCACTGTGCTGGCAGGAGAATAGAATTATATAAACCACACCTTTATACAATAATTAGACAGGCCATACACTATTCTAACTTAGAGCTTGCAGAAGAAGTGTATTCCTAAAATCCAGCAAGGTTAAGGCCAAACAGACTTCCTGGTCATTAACCAAGGTCATTTTAAATATATAAATAGCACCAATAACAATTAATGGTGAAAGACAGAAGCACAGTGCCCATTTGAAACTGTCATACAGTATTCTAAAAACAATCATTCTCATCTGTAACTCCCTAAATTGATAAATGAATTTGCACTTTGCCCCCTCTGAATAAAACTAATGCTTTCCTTGGCTTTCAGAATGCCGCCTTCTTCTAATAATTACATTTTAATTTATATATCAAATAGAACAATGACATAACTTCACAGTATATAAAAGAAGTAAAAAATACTGAACTTTACTAACACATATATTCCAAAGATTATAAATATCCTACTACACACCAGTGGGATGGAAATGGTAGACCCTGAGAGAAGCTAAACCCAGCTATTGGTTCTGTTCAGTAGAGAAATGATGTCCATTTCAACTATATTATAAACTCTTAGCACATGAACTATGCTAATTTTAATTAATTATTACTACTAATAAATTATTTTATTAATAAATTAATAAAAATAATTTATTAATCAAAATAAATTTCCAAAAAGTTACCATTTATTGCAATTTTAATGGAGAAAATTAAATAGAATAGTATAGGATTCTTTATTGGCCAAGTGTGATTGGCCACACAAGGAATTTGTCTTTGTGCATACGCTCTCAGTCGTCGTTAAACATTTTTAAAACACAGATGGCTTTAAAATTCATATTATTTTTATTTTAAAATATTGTAAACTGTTAAGGTGTTTGTTTAGAAGCCAGGAGACTGAGAGTTCTTATCCCATCTTAGGCCTGAAAGCAGTCTGGGTGACCTTGGGCCAGTCCCTCTCTGTCAGCTCAACCCATCTCACAGAGTTGTTTTTGTGGAGAAAATAGGAGGAGGAAAGAGTGTCAGGCATGTTCGCCACATTGAATTACTTATAAGATAATAAAACAGGATAAAAATCCAATAAATAAATAAATACAATTAGTTTTCATATGAAAAGGAGGCAAGTGGAAAACAAATTGCAAGTAATTAAGTAATATGAAAAAGTACAACTGGTATGTCTAAGGCATTTTTTAAAAAATATCCCTTTTCCAAGAGGTTTGCTTGAAACCTCTGGATATTGTGTGACACTTTTTGACAACACTGTAATATTATGTTATTTCAAAGACAAACTACCCAAGGGGATAATTTGAGAGAGATCCATTTGCATCACAAATAAATAGCTAATGGAGGCCTTAATATCCTGCAAAAGGCTGCACAAATATTTAGCAAACATCACTAGTTTCCTTAAACATGCAAAACTGAACAATCATAGGTGCTGTACATACTAAAGGCCTTACATGGTTACAAAATTCCTAAAATCAATGGAAAGCAGAATCAACTATGGAAAACTCATTCATTGTCCTCATTCATAGCCAATTTGATGAAGTGGTTAAATATCAGACTAGAAACTAGAAAATGGGAATTTTAGGCCCACCTTAGACACAAAGCCAACTGGTGACCTTGGGTGGGTTACCTTCTCTCAGCCCTGGGAAGGAAGCAATGGCAAACCACTTCGAAAAAACATTGCCAAGAACTTGTCCAGGTAGTCTCTGAGAACTGGACACAATTGAAAGAAAGAAAGAAAAAAAACAGTTTATATCAAAAGCACGTGATCGACAGAGGAGTATGGTACAATAAAACAGATTGGACACCAGTATCTTAAGCCTGACTACCAGAAATAACACACAATAAAGCCACAATACTACAAAACTATTGGCAAGCAAAAAACTTCTTTTAAAGTCAACTTTCTTTAACTGATGCCCTCCAGGCTAGACTATAATTCTTGCTCAGCAGAATCAGTAAATCGTGTCCTTAAGGACAGAAAGGCTATTCTAAGCTTCTTTCTGATAATATAGAATATTCCACTGATACATGTCATATAAAACAAATGTCCAGTATATAAACAAGTCTATCAATTTTGTTTTCTATCAAGAATTACATTATAATAGTATTTAAATATTTGTCATGTTGATTCAGCTAACATTATCCAACCTGATCTTAAACTTTCAGACTGTAAACAAAGGTTTAAAATACAGTTACATGAACCTTCAACTAGGCAGCTAAGTATTGTGATGGCCCAATACTTCCCAACCCAAGAAAGATGTTCTTGGAAATTCAGGATGAAATGCTGGCCTTCCATCAACTGTTGTCCTTCTTTAGGATGCTTATTACACCTCAGAAACTTGTCTTTGTAAATATGAGATAAGAATACTTATGGGCTCCTCTCATAAGACACAACACAGGAATTATAAGTTAATTCCAAAAATATCTAGACAGAACCAGGCTGAAGATTCGTACAGATCTCAGTAAATTGTGATTTAGGCGGTAATACAGTGCAGAGCTATGGGTGTTTGAAGCAACCCATTGTGTCTTCAAAATGATGAGACATCTATCTTAATATTACACTGCAAGTTCTCTCCTTATGTTTGTGTGAAAAGTCGCAATGCAAGTATAACATGGCTAGAGTTTGCATGCTCTGACATTGCACCTCTGGAATGCATGAGTGTAGCACGACAGTGAACCTACGACACCCATGTTAAAGATGACACAGCAGCATTCACCAACACCTGACAACTATTCTTAAAAGCATGCCCTATTTTCATGCAGTTTTCAGAAGTTGCAGACACTGTGTGAGAATGGGATGTTCCTCACATAGCCTCCGGATCCTCCAGAAGTCACACAAAAGAATTGTGCTCTTGCATGGCATCCAGAGCGTCTGAAAATCATGTGAGAATGGGTCATGCTCTCCTGTGGTTTGCGGGAGCTTCAGGGACTGTGGAAGGGCATTCTCCAAAACCACTTGAAGAACGAAGGCCTTGTGCAACCTGTAGCAGCCTCAGGTTGGCTGCAGGGGCCTGTCAATAGAAAGAGAACAAGAACCCTTCCCAAAAGTTACTAGCGTATGGTGCTGCGAGGTGGCCTTTTTGATGGCAGTGGTGGCATTAGTGCTGAAGTCGAGGCAGTGCTGCCACTGAGTGCCCCTGTTTAGGATTGCCTGAATGCAGGGGAGATAAATTGATTCTCTTTGGTTTGGGGATGGGATGACATGCCAGCAGAGTCAAGTTAGGCATTTTCCAAATTTTTGAGAGGGCAAGCCCAAAAGGTTTGCAGTCATTGGCACAGCAGATTCTTTGGATGCATCAAGTTCAAACCTTCAACCTTCAACAGCAACTAAGAGTTTCAGAGCTTTAGTCAACTACTCTTTTGGCGGCCAGCAAATCAGATAGCATATCCTGTTAATTAACCCTTGATACCCTCTCTAGATAACTTGGACCAAAAGCTTTGTAATCACCAGTTGGAATTGGAGCCCAAAATATCAAGAGGAACCAAAGTCAGCAAACAGGATTCCCATTTATATTGGCTGTGTTCTGTCAAAGGTGGGGCAGGCTCCTTTTTGATCAGTCGAGGATGTGAAAAAGTTGAGTTCCTTAACCGTCACCTCTTTTTCTCTAAATTAGAGAAAATATACTCAAAACCACAACCATAAAGAATTTCAAAGCAGAGAGACACTTCTGGTCAGCTGATCAGAGGCTGAAATAATTTTGTTTTTGGACTTCTGAAAAGTTTCAAAGGAAGCACCCGGAGCAGACAGAAGGCAGGATTTTTTTCCCCTTTAAAAATATGACTGCACCACCCGTACCCCCGAAGTAGGAACCTGGCAATTGGACCCCCCTCCCCTCTCAACCCTATGGCAACCCAGGAATTGCTACAGCACCGTCTCCCAGCCGCCTCCCCTGCGTTGTTGTTGTTGTGTTTTCCCTGCGCTGCATGCAACACCTCCGATGCTGCCTTCGGCCGGGCAAAGAGGCGCGCACAAGGAAAGCAGCCTGCCTTGCCTTGCCAGAAAAAGCGTGCCAATTTCCCGGCCTGCCCGAAAGAGCCGGATGAATGAAGTGCCCGTCTCCCGCCGCTCCACTTACAGACGACATAGGCGACCAGAGCGAGCCCCATCAACAGCTTCATCCTCCGTCTCCTATTGATGGCAGACAGCACGCGCAGCAGCGTCCCTTTACTCAGCATCCCCAGCCAGGCGGGGAAGACTCAGCCACGAGCAGCAGCGCTCGGCACCGCAAGGCATCAGCTTCACCCTCGGGATCCCTGAGCCTCCGCCGCCTTGCCCGCCACGGACCTCCTCAGCCCGCCGCGCCACCAGCGGCAGCAGGAACAGTAGCCAGGCCAGTTCCTGGCAGCGACAGCACGCATGCGCACATGGGGCCCTCCACTTTTCTCCCCGCCCTCCCTCCGCTTCAGCCTCTGCTTCGGCAAAGCAACTGGACCCGGGCGGCGGAAGGAAAGAACCCGACGTTGAGGTGGCGGAATATGAAGTCACTTTTCCCTACTGCGCCTGCGCCGAATATTCCACTCCCTCTTAATCACAGAAACATTTCAGGCGCCTCGTGATTGTTGATGTCAGTGTGTGAAAAATCAAAGTGCCCGCTTTTTCAGGTTTTACTTAGGATGGAGCAGAAGCAATTGTCAAAGCACCCCCCCCCAATTGATTAAATCATAATAGATACGGCTGTGCAGTTTTTGACATTCTCATGGCACCAAGTATATGTATGTGTACATGCACATGCATACATTTGTATAGGTTACGTCACAATCCTTAGGTTACAACAATTAATTCAAATGCGTGCATGAAAATCAACCAAGATTAACAGAATGCATAAAGTAATAAAATAGTTAATTTCCAAAATAGTTTGCTGTTAATTCCACCACAGGGACATACAAAACCGTGTGCAAGGTTTACTAAGCAAATCTAATTAACATTAAAAGAAAGAAACCCTGAGTAGACTACCAACAAAATTTAAAATCAGTTGAAAAATGGGTTGAAATAGTTTAACATAGCATTCAACATAATTCAAAATTAGTCTGCTATTTGGATTAATGGATTTATTTGTTTGTTAGTTTATTATTGGTAAGAGTTCTCCTGGAGAAAAGCTTCATGACAATAATTATGGTAGAAAACAGAGTTTACATTCAGTTTCTTAAATCTCTGCAAAAAACAGTCAGATTTTTTTCCTGGAAGCACACAGGAAGGACTGTTAGGACTGAGAATCTGCACTTAGGTTCATCCTACTTGAAGGCTGGGCTTAAAATGAGTATGACAAGGGAGATTTTGTATAGAGAATGGGAGGTTTATATGTCCATTTTTATAAATCTTTCTTTTTGAGAAATACTCAAAAAATATTATGATCCCCCACATTGCATAGATTGATTGAAATCTTTGCTTTAAATGAGCATGAAAGTTTTGGAGCACTTTTATGCCAGATATTAGTAGTTTTACATATACATTTTAATAAATAAAACTTACCAAAAGTTTTACTTCTAAATCAAATGTTGAGAACAGAGGTGAAATCCAGCAGATTCTGACAGTTCTGGAGAACCGGAAGCGGAAATTTTGAGTAGTTCGGAGAACTGGCAAACACAACTTCTGGCTGGCCCCAGAGTGGAGTGGGAATGGTGATTTTGCAATATCCTTCCCCCAGGAGTGGGGAGGGAATGGGGATTTTGCAGTATCCTTCCCCTGGAGTGGAGTGGGAATGGAGATTTTGCAATATCCTTCCCTTGCAATGGGGTGGGAATGGAGATTTTGTAGTATCCTTCCCCTGCCATGCCCCCAAGCCACACCCACAGAACCGGTAGTAAAAAAAAATTGAATTTCACCACTGGTTGAGAACAATTTATTATGATAGGGAATTAGTGAGGAGGACCTAACACGTCAATCCTTATAATGATCTTCCCTCTAAAAACTTTTTATCTAGCCCGTATTTTAATTCACTTATTTTTAGATTACTTGATTTCTCTTAACAATCATTTTTACAATTTTACTTTTAAAAAAAATATCACTACTATTGGATCAGCCTTCTTCACAGCAAGCACATTTGTATTGCAGTCTTGGGGAAAAGGAAGAATTGACAGTGGGTATCTTCTGCAACACAGACCTCATCTAAGCCTCTGAAGCAACAGAAAATTGACAGATATATCAGAAGCAAGCAAGCTTCTCCAGTAAATAATGCCACCTCACTTCATCTGTGGGATAGATATGACCCCTTAGAGAGGGATCTACAGGCTAAGATTGAAAGTCAACACTTTTTAGAGCTTTTCTCCTCTCTGATAGTGAATGCTCCCCCCTCCAGAGACTGTTGTTTGCTCAGCAGCCAAACAGCTCATACAGGAGGGAGATGAGGGCTCTAATTTTAAGTCCCTGAAAGAACAAAATACACCACATTTTATAACTAGACAGAATCTATTGACAGCACAGACTGTTCTTTCAAACTTTGACTTGCCGACTGCAGTTAAAAATAAAGTAGATTCTCTGAATCTTTTGGAAAAATTATTGAGAGCCAATCAAATAAAATCACTCATCCTGCCAAAGCAAATGGTTTGGGTCTAAATTGTGTCCTGTAAAGGAGGATCTCACCCCTGAAATCAGTCTTCTAAGAGGAAGTGTGGGTTGGGGACGACAAATGTTTCTTCAAACTAGTATGATAACTCTGCAAATTCCATATACAGAGTAAACAGAGACAGATGGGATCTAAAAAGGCAGTCACCCAGTCCAGCTACGATGCTGTGAAAGGCAACCAATGGACTTAGAAAAGGTAGAATGGCTTCCACCTGGATGCAGTTAAAGTGAGTCCTGTTGTCATTTGGGCAGGCTGTAGTATATTCTTTAAAATGAATCCTTTGAGCGCTTTTCCAAATTTTCCAACTGTTTTCCATTCTGAGGAAATCATTTCACTTTTAACTCAGTGAATCATGAGGCTATTGGCACCTTATCACATAAAAGTACAGTAAAACTCTCCACTCAGACAACTTCAAGGACATCTTATCAACAGAGCCTCTGCAGGGGGAAGATCTATGTAAACAATTTATCCAACTCATAGCAACACAGCTCTCTAATGAACCACTAGAAGAAGGTTTGATTAACTCTTTTAGTGCCTTGTGGAATATACATTAGGCTGACATCATGAAAAGTCTGGATGGCCTGAGAAAATATTTAACGACAACCTGTAAAACAACCAAGCCACTAATACACAATTTACTATGCAGGTTAATAAATTTCATCTTGGGAAACAATGTGATTGTGCTGTTGAGGAGGAACAATTTATCTGCACTGTCACAGCTGCCTTGAACAATTCAGATTCCCAAACCTCCAGTGTAGAGCTTGAAAAGAAGAATGTTTCTGTTTTTAATCCGTATTCCAACAATCCTCTGAAATGACCAGAATCCTCAAAATCAAAATTATTTTTTACAGTTGCTCAGGTTCATGAGCAGCCTCTTGATAATTCTAACCTTCCGAATTCTGTCTCTTCAGAACCTATGCTTATTGGTGAGACTCATCAGGACCATACAGAGGACATTGATATGTCAGGATTCATAGTGTTCTGCATGACAGAATGTAGACCAGTAGACAGTAAGGACTTTAAAAATACCAACATGGAATCTTGCTGGCTGATATTGTAATAGAGGCTTCATTTTTTTTGGTCCTCTGATGGCAAGGATATCATTCTTGTGCAAGAAACATGGGCATTTGATGATCTCCTGCTTAATGGGATCATTCATATAAAAAGGGAGCAACTTAGACAGAGGGCCAGGATGGCTGATAGGTGGTTTGGGTATCCTCACATTATGTCTTGGAGAGTAGCACTTACTTTATGTCTTGGAGAGTAGCACTTACTTTAAAGCACTTACTTACACCCCTCCTTTAAAGCAAGTGACTATGGCCCTACTATTTAGTTTGGATAATAGGTCATTGTTAATTATTATTGTTTACCTCCCTCCATTACAAAGAAAAGCTGAAATCTGTGTTGAATGGACAGAACTATGTTGACAACCTTCTGTTGGATTACCCAAATGCTAATATAGTCCTATCGGGGTGGAGCTTTAATGCTTGGACCCTGATTATTATACACTGTGTGTACTAAATTCCACAAGTAGTTACCAAATCAGAAATTCAGTTTAACTTGCACCCCTTTTTTTCCATGTCTCCAAAATTAAAACATCAAATTATTCTGGATTCTACCTTGCAAAAATGAGAAATAGGTTTAATCTCTTTGTAATAATGATTCTTTCATAGGAGACTACCCAGGCAAACTCACATTTATGGCAAGCATCAGAACAAGTACCATCAATTATTTATTTATTTATTTGATTTGGTTTGTTTGATGGCCATCTCACTTCAATTTAATCCTAATTACATGCTAATTACTATAAACTTGCTACTCTAGGTGAAACATTTCAGAATACTTTCCCATTTAGGAAAAGGTAGTAAACATTTCCCCCTTTGCAAACATTTGAAACCTCCCACTTGGAAGACATACCTGGAAGCTCATTTCACTTCTTCAATAGGTCAAGCAAGATTTTGCCATATGGACCTCTTAGCTTATCTAAAAGATGAAGAGGGCATTGGCAAAGGTCAATCAACAGCAGTATTGATTGGCCCTCATGTCATCCAATCTCACACAAGATCATTTAGTCATATACAAAACTCTAGTGCCCAAACTACAATTTTTATTGGTTTGTGACTTGAATTATTCAATTAAGCAGCACCTAATTTCAAAGCCATGGTTTGATAAGGTTATTGAGGCTAAGAAACAATTTATCACCTGAGATAGGGGAAAATAACACAAGGATCCTTGAACATCTTGTCATCCTTAAAGACAAAAGAACAAGTAGTGGCCTTTAAGAAAAAGAAAGATATAAAGACTTTTTCAGGCTAAACTGCTAGCCCAGTTCCTTTATGGAACTCTAACTGGCCCCCTAGCTTCATGTTTCACCTTTCTGGAAAGGGTACAATCTAAATTTATCAGAGCAGTTCAGACGCACACAACTGGAAACAGTTATGATAAATGAAGAGTGTGTCTAGCTTCTATAAACCTTTGATTGAAGCTCAACTTTGAAACACAATCTATTTAATACTCTCTAAATTGACTTCTGGGTCCATTATTCAAAAATATCTTTCAATATGCCCATGGTTAAAATATTTTGCTTCATTTTGTATTTGTAGGTTGATTTTAATTTAAATGTTCTTCTCCTTTAATTTTAATTTTTAACTCCTTCTAGTTCCTTCTAATGTTCTATTTTTGAAGTCCCGTCTGATCATGTTTTCTTTAAAAAAAAAAAAATCAAAACAGAAGCATTTTCCCACAGGAAGGATTTTTATAATTAATTCCAAAATTTTACTTC